CACACACACACACACATATATATATATATATATATATATATATATATATATATATATATATATATATATATATATATATATATATATATATATATATATATAAATCGTAATCGGACTCCATTTATTAGAAACCTCGATATTCGATCGAAGTTAAACGTGAATGGAGTTCCTAAGGTTAATTTACTCCGCTAATCCAGAAATCAAAGTTCAGGATCCGGAGGGGGCCCCGAGTGGCCGAGTGGTCTAAAGCGCTGTCCGTTACGGATCGCTGCCATCTAACCTCTGTCTGTGTGGGTTCGAGTCTAGGATTCGGCGAATGTGGATATGTGAGTAAGCTTGCCAGTAGCTTCTCGTGGGTCGGTGGTTCTTTCCGGTAATTTCCCGGTTTCTTCCTCCACCATTAATACTGGCCGCCATGAATAGCCTATCGTGTGCTGAAAAATGGCGTTAAGCTCAAGGACAACAACAACAACAACAACATCAGGATCCGGAAATCAATATCGGAGATCAAAGTGTAAACTTGCTGTAAAACCTGCCTTGATAATCTGGAAATAATTTGTCCAAAAAATAAGAAAAACTGAAGTATCGTATAAGAATATACTGTCACTCGGATAACACAGATTCATCATGGCAAATTTTGGAGGTGTAATTCTCTGACCAATCGTCGTATAAAGGATGTCTTGTTTTTGCTACATTGGGTGTTAACAATTAAATAAATACACTGGGATCAAATGTTACATTTTTTACATAGCATAAAGGTAATAAATTAGGTGTATCTTTAAATCTCTTTGCTGTTTACTAAGTGTATGCAACAACAAACAATTAGTTTGTTGATGGCTGTACAAACAAAGTTAATTGATTTAAGCTTTGGACAGTGTAGGTTTCACTTTAGGACAGTGTAGGTTTCATTTTAGAATACGATACGACGTCGTTTATCGGTTCATTTAAAGCTATAACAGTTGTACAACTTGTAAAAAATTACTGCATTTTATTTCTAGCCGACGTCGGCAATATTCACCAGTGATGACATATAACACAATAGTGATGCAGTTGAGAATGTATGGACACCATCAACAATCGTTGAAGATCGATCCGTCAAATAATCCAGGCAGTAAAAGTCAGATTTCTACAGTAAACTGACATATTCATATACATGTATATATTGTATTATGGGTTCGAACCAAAGTCCTAAAACGTAAGACGTATCACATTATATTTTTGTTTGGTACTACCAAAACATAAATAGCCAGTAATACGTCTTACACTGTAGGACTAGAGTTCGTTGTGTTATGTGTTCAAACCTATACTTACGTATATGTACAATTTTCCTGTTATAATAAAGTGACGTAAACACAAATCAACAGACATATTCATTAAGTTATTTAACCTATTATTGAACACACAGTAATATGTACATGTAGCAAATACATGTATATGTACAAGTATAGCGTAGGGGTTTTCCACTTTTACCATTTAGTTTATGAGAGTTGGAAGTAAGAGTGTGAGCTAGGGTGTTGGAGATTAATTCATCATTTCAGATCTATAAAAAAAACATCTTATTTACGTGGTAGTGTTACGTGTCTTTGTTAAATCAAACTCTATGCCATCCGTTAACAACAATACCCACACATAATTACAAACATCAACATGTACATACATACATCCGAACTTTAATATATATATATATATATATATATATATATAAAACGGAATAATATGCATATAATTATCTTATATATTACATATATAGTTGATGTCCATCAAACGGATTTGTTAAAACTCGAATACTGAATTGAAATATACTACTGAATACAGTGAAACTGCATGGAAAGGGTATTGTTGGGACAATGTACTATTTCCGTCTGTAAAGACATGTACGACCACAGCAAGTAGAGCACGTTGCAAAGGAGCGTAAGTTTGTCCCGGCAGACAAAATTCACGCAATTCGTACTTTTCGGATCCCGTAACTTCAGTTTATTGCAACGAAGAAAAGTCAATATGGCTTGATGAAAAAGATAAATACCTCAGGAGTTAAACAAGACATAGATTTTGGTCGTGTGTCTTCAAAGTCGAAAAGAAAGCAGGAGATCGAGGGTCAGGTGTTAAATAAAGCTTTTAGAAATTTACATACCTTGTCTCTTTTATAGAATGATGGACAGTGTCCAGTTTCAGAACGGGTCATGGGGGTAATCTGAGGTGATTTTGTCACTTGGTACGATTTTTTTCCTTCAGAATTTTGCCTTTTTTTAATTAACATCAAGCTCGCGTCGAGCACCCATGCTTCTAGGTAGAAAAGAGGATATGAGCCGCGACACTTCTGGACTTACATGTGTTTGAAATATGTGTTTTAAATTCCGCACCAAGAGTCAGGTGCTAATTTCAGTATGGATTATTCCAAACTCAAGACTGTTAAAGGACTAAAATTCCATAAATAAAAGAATGTCTATTTTGTTCCCGTTGCAGCTTGGATAAGCTCTCTAAAGATTCTTTTTCTTAAAATCTAACTTTTGTTATCAACCAATTCTGGCCAGCCAGATTCATATATACTCTATTTTATCGTTACTAATTTCCAGTCTGGTAC